AGCCAAGCCGCGCCTCTGGTGACTGTAACAGGCAGTGCTCTGTCTTTGATAGAGTATCAGCTGGGTTTATCAGAGTATCAGCACAACTTCCCAACTCCAGGACTCGCACATTCTGGCCAGCACTCCCTGCAGAGCAGACAGGGGCTGCGTGGGAGCTGAGCTCACCTCTTATTTCAAGGAATCTTAACAGCAGGTTTTAAGCTACTTATTTACCTTTTTTTGTCTGTGCAGGAAGCCTGAGCTAAAAAAAAAAATAGACAGAAGTATAATTACTCTGGCACGCCTGCATTCCTACTCCAGGCTCAGGCGGGGAGGGACTCTTTCTTGTTGGAGCCAGGAAGAGGATCTGATCCCCAGAGATCATCACCACAAACGTGTGTAACTGAGACCTGCAGCCATGCTGAAACAGATATTATCAGACATGTACGTAGATCCTGACCTGCTGTCAGAACTCAGCGAGGAGCAGAAGCAGATCCTCTTCTTCAAGATGAGGCAGGAACAGATCAGGCGGTGGGAGGAAAGAGAAGCTGCTGCTGACAAGGCTTCAGCAAAGAAGCCACTGCCAAGAAAAGGTAAGTCTCTGCCTCCTGACTACTTTACCCTCTGGCACTTATTTGGCCTAGTCAGCTGCTCCCTAGAAATAGGAGGTAATGTATACTTAATTTCTTTTCCAGAGGACATACTATAGGCTTATTTCCAAACCATAACTAAGCCCACCTGCAATGGGGTAGTTTTGGCCTGGCACACAGTGTTTTTACTCCCTGGCCCAGACACTGTCCTTGACCAAATTGCTCAACTCCCCTAGCTGGGAAGACAGGGCTTACTTGTCCCCAGGGGATGCATGTCATTAAGTTTTCCACTAAATGCAGCCTCTGAATCTGTCTTTAACATAACCATGGATTTGAATATCTGTCCTGAGGCACCAGATCTGCAGAGGAGTTCCCACTGAAACTTTAGTCCTGAAGTTCCCTTGCCAGGATTACACAGCATGTAGGCTGCCAGGAAGACAAGCACTCTTCTCCCAGCTCTGCCCCACGTGCTGTGTGTGCAGGTAGTTCACCCTCACATGGTTTGGGGAGGACAGTGGCCAGGAACTAAAGCAAGAAAAGGAACAGGTCTTCTCCCTTGCCCCCAGACTCAGAAATGTTTCCTCCACTGACCTGGCTTCAGTACCATGAGAAAAAATTGGGAAGTGTGCACTGCAACCCAGCTGACCTTTCCCCATGTACAGTTGCTTTTGGAGAGGCTCTGCCATCATCAGCATCCAGCAGGGCACAGCAAGTGGGACACAGGCCCTGCACAGAGCTACCCAGAAAACAGCATTTGTCAAATTGCTGCTTCTTTTCCAGCCAACGGGAAGTCAGTAACATGGAAACTCGGCGCTGACAATGATGTCTGGGTCTGGGTGATGGGTGAGCATCCTTCAGATAAACCGTATGCAGCCATCTGTGAAGAGATCCAGGCACAAAGAGCAAAGCACTTAGCGAGAGAGCAAGGCAAGGAGTGCAGGTAAGCACATTCAGCTGGAGGACTCAGTGGGCAGACGTGGAGGAGAAAGCTTTTCTAGGGACCCAGAGGCTGGAGCCTTCTCTGTAGGGGCTGTGGTTATCACTCATGCTGGATTTGCAGGCAAAAGGCACAGGCAAAGGTTGGCATTCTGCGAGGACACATAATGCTGGCAGAGACCTGCTGCAGCCAGAGACTTGCCCTGGGGCCTCGTGGAGCCTCCTGTGATATGACTCCTGTGTGGGACTCTCTGCAGACCACAGGAAATGCTAACTCTGTTACTGCAGCAGGTGATGAGATTGGATTGCACTGATTCACCGACAGGTGCCATGTACAGCTGGACAACAGTTACTCACCACAAGTCATTAATTTAATTATCCCACCTGCCTGATTTGGAGATATGACTGCCCATACGCATATCAATTCATTGCAGTGCTGCTCTGCTCACGTGCAGCTTCCTCACAAGATGCTCAGAGAACAGAAAGGGACTCCCTCGGGTTCCTAAATCCTCTCTCTCTTGCATTTCAGAGAGACTGACTCTTCTGTAACATACTCTCTACATCCACCACCAGGACTCCTTGGTGAGACAGATCTTCATGGGAATAAAAAATGCACTGTGGAGAAAAAGGAGGAAGGAGGGAGAAAGATGATTGATACTACAACAGGGAAAAGCCAGGAGTGCACAAAGGTAGTTTTCTCCTTTTCTCATAACTACTAGAAACGTGTTTTAAGATCTAGGAAGTGCAGCAAATCCTGGTTGCTATAAATAGAAATATGAAGAAAAAAGCCATCTATCTGTTAAGGCTTTTCTTCTGTAGTCAGATAAGAAGCCATGCTGTTACATCCTTCCTTGGCACTCAGGAGGGCCACATGCTATTCTCAGCTGAGATAGATCTGCTCTATACTGACAGATAAGTTAGTCTGAATTTCCTTGCTTCCATTCTCCGTGGGTAAAATAAGGGGTGCAGCACTTCCCCCCCTGCACTGTGCCTGGTTTGGATGGCTTTTGGGGCAGGACCAGGGAGGCTATCCCAGCATCTGTACGTGCAAGGTCACAGTGCTCAGACTTTTGCATCTACTTTTGAAAAAGAACAAATGAAGGTAATTTTACCAGCATCATCTGACACACATATTTTAGGTGGTTCTTTTATCTTTTGGTCTCCAAAAATAGTTAGAAAACAGCTTATGACCTTGACAGCACAGGACAACTCCAAATGCAGTAACTACAGTGTCTGCTCTCCAGGAATAAATAAATTTCTACTTTTTACCTGGCTACAAAAAGCAATTTGCAGAGAATCGAGAAATAGATGAGTTAAGTTAACTACCCATGCAACCAAAGTTGAACAGAAGGAATAGAACACCCTGCCAATTTAATGGGAGAAATCCCATCTCATTCAGCAGTTTTCATTCAGCCTTTTGCTGTGAACTTGTATGAGTGTATATTCTTTTATCGTACAGCCACTTTGCATTTCGGTATAAAAAGCATGATAACAGAAGGTTGGGTTTTGGCAAAGCCTCTCCTGCTGCTACCAAAATAGTGAAGGGAATTTGGAGTGGCTGTCTCCTTTATCAAAAACCTCTGAGTCACACGGGGTTTTTCTCAGCACTGTTTGCTGAAGTTGAGCAACTATGTGGGAGGTTTGTTTTTTTTCAAAGGAAGTTATTAGTCACAGCTGACAAAAAAAAAAAAAGAAGTAAAAAAAACCCCAAACGTCAAGCCACTACCAAAAATCTAACCCTCTTTCAAAGTCTTGCACATAGTAATAGATGGGGGCTGTATATTTTATTTTTTTTTTCCCCTGTTATTATATTATTAGTCATTTTCCCCAGGTTTCTGGGGCTTTTGCTATTAGAAGGAAGGATCCAAACTGAAGACCCCTGTTATGTTTTCTAGGCCTGGAGAGGGACATTTTCTCACCTCCCACACTCAAATGTTTTCTCTGTGATCTAGTTCCCATTTAACCTCAGAGATCTAGGCATCGTGGTTTGCCTGTTGCAGAGAACAGGCTGATCTATGAAAAGAATTGCTGCTTCACAGACTTTTGAAGTTCCTAGTTTCCTGTGGAGGAGAGGTAAATTGTAAAGCCATGTTCATATTAAATATTAGCCAAATAGGTAATGGAACTAAAACAAAGTGTCCTTGGTAAGCAGCATAGTACAGTTAACTCATTACTCACTGTGCTGTGGGAGGCAGTCTGGGTCCAGTGCAGATGTGGATGGTGCTTACTCAAAGACAAATCTAACTGTTTGTCTTCAAAGGCAGGTCTCAGCTAGTGACTGCTGTCAGGGTAGCTAGACTGGTTTGCAGGGAAGAGCTAACATGAGATATGCAGCTAGTTGGGTCAGTTTGTCAAGTAGGAGTTTGCAGCACCCAAGCCACAGCTGCAAACAAGCACAGGCAGGTGAAGTTGTGGGTGACAGGTTCTGCTAGGTCTTGCTTTAGAGGGAGAGAGGAAAGGGATTCTCCCTGGGAGTGCTTGAGAGCATCAGCTTATGGCAATCCTGACACCCTTGAGATCTCCTCCTGTGGCATGTTAGGCCTAATATCAGGAAAACACCCAATGTTTGTCAGAGAAAGCCAGCAAAATTTGCTAACAGATCTCACATGACTGCTTCTGCATTAAACACCTATTGCTCCAAACAAAGAGCAATCTTCCTAAGGTCACCTTTATTTCTCACTAATCTTTTGCTTTGCCCAGAGGGGAACCAGAGATGTTCACCAGATGCTGACAGACTGCCACATGAGGAAGCAGGGCTTCCAAAAGGTAAGTGGCAACCTATGATGCTTCAAACACATGGAGTGGGGGCCCAGGCTTTATCCCAGAGTCCCAGTCAGCCTCAGACCCTCATCCGACCCAAGAATGTTCTCACCTCTTAGACCAGTTTTATCCAATGTTGTCATGCTCCTCATGCATGGTGTGATGATTTGGTGATGATACAAAGCAGGCCAGGCTGGGAGGCTGGGGACAAGCACAGGAAGATGCTCCTGATTATTTCTGGTAGACTGTTTTCTTTTACTTCCTTTGTTGTCACCTGCAGTAAATACAGAGGGTCTATATGTTGTTGAAATTGGAAGGGTTCACAGTAAAGAATGGAGTTCCCAGTATTTCAAGGCTAGCTAGAAAGCAGGTTAAATCTGAACATACTGTTTCTTTCATAGACAAAGGAAGCACAGAGGAGAAATTCAGAAGAGACCACAACCTCACAGGAGGCAATGCCACAGAGCCACCCCAGCACAGAGGGCCAGAGGACACTGCAGAAATCGGATGAGAATGAGCCTGAATGGCAGGAATTCTGTAAGATCTTAGGATAACCTCTTCCTATGGGGCTTGAGAAATCCTAGGGCTCTGTGGGGTCATCTCAACCCTTCTCCTGCGACACTGGAACTGAATAATAGGTTGGTGGGTGGAGAGTACTGGCAAGAAGTGTTACCCGGAATATTTCTGAGTCCACACAGCATTGAGACTAGAGCTGGGCAGGGAAATGGAAAGCTTTTCCTACCAATACTATATTAAAACAGGCAACAAATAGGAACATGAGTATAGCCAGTATAATTAACTTTAAAGTTGGCCTTTTATAGGACTTTGCAGTAACCATTGCTCTTGAGGACAAAGATAATGGGTTACAGGGACTAATTAAAAAGGGCTTCCCTGTCATTCAAGCATGATCCCACTTAAGCAGAGTCCTGCTGCACTGTCCCATGTAATTCCCAATGATAGGAAGGAAAATAGCCAACAGTATGAGACTTGCAGTAGCATCCGTCGCTGTTGCCAAATACTTCTTGATGGAGAACCTGATGCATTTTTTTTCCTGAGTTCCTCTCCTGCTGCTCAGTAGATGGCAATGCTGTACCACCAATTGTTTCCACTTCAGGCCAGGGGTTTTATTTTTATTACTGACAAAAAAAGTTCAGAAGTTGGCTGGAAAGCTGGTTACTCCTACAGACTCCATGGTAAGGTGAACCTAGACAATCAAGGGAGTTTAACAGAAAATAAACAAACAAAAAACCAGCCAAGTTCTCCACTTTCCATAATAGTTTCAGCAAGACTCACTCCCACTCACTCCACTTTCAAACCCTTCAAAGAATTGATTTGGGGTCAGTTCAGCAGCTTTTATTCCATATGCCCTGCCCCCTGCACCAGCTCACATGAAAGGCACTACAGAAATCTATGTCTGAACCTGTTGTCAGCATCTGAAACAAAACCAACAAGTCTCTTAAGTACAAAGCAACCTGGTACCAGAAAAGAACACAGATTTTTAATCTCTCAATGGAGTAAAAACTCTACTATGTTAAGTGGCAGATGTCACAACACATGGGAGATGTGGCAAATGGTCTCACAACTGAGTGAATCTTCCAGCTTGTGAAATGGGTTATTCTTCCACTTCATCAAGCAGGAAGATGGCCAAAGGGCAGCAAGCTTTAAACTTGCCTGCTTGTTCGCTCCTGTAGGACTCTTTTTCTGTTCCAGTGCAGAAATCCAAGGCAGCAGATGAGAAGAGACGCTCCCTTGCACGGCAAGCCAGGGACGACTACAGGAGGCTTTCACTGCAGGGCATCCACAGAGGGAAGCAGGCAGATATCTCCAAGAGTGCCACAGCAGGAGATCGGCGACCACTCCAATATCCACCTCTCCCCCCCAAGCCTAAATTTCTACCTCCTGCAATGGCAAATGGAAGAACAATTAGGTAAGGAAACCCTGTGCACTGTGGAGGGCAGAAAGGATGAGATTCTTCTGCTCTATCATGGGATGTTTGAGATGGGAATGGTTAGCTCTCCTTATGTGGAAGAGACACCTGTCAGGGTAAAATACAGAGCCTAGGCTATATCCCAGCCTTGGATGTGATGAGGCCTTCAGGTGTTCACCCCTAAAGGGTAACAGGTTTATTTAGCAGAGTGTCCTAAGCCTAGAGTGCATACAGCCTCTATGATGCTGGATGTCCACTGCAAACCATATTCTATTGCTGATAGCTGCAGTAGTGTAAGCCTTACCTTAGGGTTGCTCTTAACATCCCGAGCAAAATCTAAGTCCTGCGCAAGGACTCAAACCCTGCTGTCTGAACTTCATGCACAAACCATGGTCTTTCCTACCAGGAAACAGGGAATCCAGAGGACAGTCTCCAGTTCCACTGAAGAAAGCATCATCAAGTGGTTCAAAGAGGAGCAATTCCCTCTCCGAGCTGGATATCAGAAAACCACAGACACAATTGCACCTTGGTTCCATGGTGAGTCCTGAGCATTTCCACCCTCTTTAAGGAGTTGTTTCTGCTAACATGGCTGCTGACACAGGCTGGGCCCAGGAGTAAAGCTCCTGCTATACTGGAATCAGCATGCAGCACAGTGCAATGACATTCTCTCTCTTAACACAGGAACTGTCCTTTCAAGCTCTGCCTATTTGTCATTCATAGCTGGCCGAGTCTGGAAGAATTAGCATAAGACAGTTAGCATGTGGCCATGGTCTGTTACTAGCAATGTCAGTACTCTTCTTCCTGGGCTACTGGGCAAGAAAACAATGAAAGGGATGGAAGAGCCATGGACTGGTTTTAGAGCAGTAAAGCAGATTTCTTATGAGAACTGTTCCATCCAGTCCTGCACAAATGCTTGTCTCCTTTCAGTTTTGTATTTTGGTTTTGACAGGTATCCTAACCTCTAGGAAAGCAGAGGAGCTTCTGAATGAAACAGTGCCAGGGAGTTTTCTCGTCCGTGTCAGTGAGAAAATCAAAGGTTATGTGCTCTCCTATCGGTCTGTGGAAGGATGTAAACACTTCCTTATTGATGCCTCCAGTGATTCCTACAGCTTTCTTGGAGTGGACCAGCTACAACATTCAACATTGGCTGACCTTGTAGACTACCACAAGGTGAACATATAGCAATACAGATGTATTTTGAAGTGCCTCAGGGCACTTCAAAATAAGAAAGAATAGATGTAGTTAGATAGTTGTTTAGAAGTAGGTAACTAGACCCGTTTTAACTGCCCTTGGGTATCCCGTGTGCTGCTCCAGAAGGGTATGTCAGCCAGGTAGGTACAGCTCAGGTGACCTAACACATCTCAAACATCTTAGATTTGACTCACTCACCCTCAAGCATGAAGAACTTGCCCACAGGGCTCAAGTTACTTACATCCTACTTAGTAGAAATGCTGATAAGGTGAGTGATGACAGCATAGTCATTGAGACACCTTTCTTTCATAATTTCTCCATGACTGAGGGGCCCTGGCAAGCTGGATAAACAGAAAATCCTGCTTGCCTCCAGCTTCAGCATGAAAGAAGAGCAAGGTACCTTTATAATCTCAAAGCAGGAAAGGTATGATACTGAGGAAAGATAAAAAAACAGAAGGGAAGGAAGAAGGTTGGCAGATTCTTGCAACAATAACAACAGTGCTTACCAGCACTGACTGCAGTTGCATGGGTTCCAAGGAGGGCCAGGTGGATTGTTCATTCATTTACTGTAAGATCTGCTCGGGGACAGGACAATAATTTTGCTTACAGGTTCATTTAAAATCCCTGTTTCTTTTAAATATGTGCCTAGCCTAATACAGACAAGGCTAAACAAAATTGGATATGAGAACATAACTATGTTCATTTGCTATATGGAACTCCACAGGAGCTCCTGAACTTGCTTCTTGCATGGTTTTCACAGTTCAAGTTGAAATTAAAAGCAGGAGTTATATAGGTATTGGTATCAGAGCCAGAGGATTTAAAGCCTGGCTGTGCATAGCTCTATTAAAGATAGAGTCATGCCCACAGTCTGCAAAGGATCCTACAGTCCCCCTACACTACAGCAGATGTGGGCAGGCTGAACTCACTCTGACAAAGTGCCCTAGTTGGTTCTGCTTACCTCCCACTGCATGACCATGAAAGAAGGCAAGTCTCTATCATGCATCTGCTGCTAGGATGAAGAATGAGACTGGAACCAGAGACTGTACTGTCAGGGAATTCCCTTGTTAGAACAGGACTTGCCTGAGCAGAGGGTATGTACTTAGTCCAGGACTCAGCCTTGCCCCTCCCACAAACACAGCCAGAAGCATGGTCCACAACCACGTGGTCCTGCTTACCTGCATGCTGCACAGTCCTCGCTCCAGCACCTTCCAGGCAAGGCAGCACTTCATGTCATAGAAGCTGTAGTTTCCTATGTGATGAGTACAGCTCTCTCTGAGAACTGCCAGAGGCTGAGTTACTGCACTGAGCACAGACATTGTGTGTGAAGAGAGAGGACAGACATTTAGGTTCTTCCCCAAGCTCCCCAAGGCACTGAGCTGTATAACACAGTGGGATGAACAACTCCACACCGCAACAGAGGCAGGAGACTGCTGTCCACCCTGTGATGTTGTGACAGGTAGGGTCTGTTTGAAAGCTGGTGTTTGATCATATTCTGTATCAACAGGATGAACCCATCACTTCCCTGGGGAAGGAGCTGTTGCTTTACCCATGTGGTCAAGAGGATCAAGAGCCAGATTACATCTCTCTCTTTGAGTGAACCTACCAGTGTCACTGTGCAGCCTCATGCTTGTATTCACAAAGACTGAATTTTGAACTAGAGCTGCTGATGTTTGCTTGAAACCACAAGTGCCTCTATTTTATATCCTTCACAACAAAACAGTAGAAGGATAAGTATTATTGTGGGTTTATCATATCAACTGATTTAAAGGATGCATCAGCCCAGCAAGCTGCAAAGCACCTGGATGTATCCCACACAATGGAGTGAATGAGTTGATGTGCTAATCAGTTGAACAGGGAGATATTCCCATGTATTTTCAGTGGGTTTTTGCAGACTTCTGTATTCAAGCTGCCTTTGTTCTTGAATGGAAGGTTGTGGGGCATCAGGGAAATAGATTAGTACCTACAGTTGAAAGAGATCATACCTTCCTGAAGGCACAAAACAACTTGGAGAGGTGAACTGTAATTTGCATAATGTGAAGCTTAATCCCGTAAAATGCTGTGTCCTTGGAATGAAGGATGTCCAAACCAAACATCCAAGCAACCCTGAGTGCCTTTCAGTGAAAGGTGCTGTGACAAGAGATTTTCATGAAGAGTGTACTTTTTAAACTCCTCTAGCCTCTGAATATAGATCCTTACTCTTTTAACCTGTATTTAAATCCCACAGAGGCCTTTCTGCATAGAGAGGGATTAACCTTCTGAAAGGGAAAGAAGGGATAGAGGAATTTGTATGAAAGACTACCACATGTACAGAACCTAAAAAATGTAAGAAGCAGCACCTATATCAGTATTAATACAGTTTACAGAAGAGTGTTTGCCAGTAAAGGATGCTGCTTTCCTAAATGGAGCTATTTGTTGCAAGTTGTGTCCAGATTACTGAGATGTATCTGGTGTAAACTATATCACAGGACTTGGTCTTTCAATGTAGTGTTTTCTCTTTGTCTCTGTTACACTGCTCTTTCAATACATCATTCAGAATATTGGGGGAGAGGCTGGACAGAATCACATAACAAATTAGTCCTCACCCAAATTCTCTCATGTTGTTGCACGTGACAAACTCTCCATCTGGGGGTTGTAGTGCAAATCTGCTAACATCATTTTTTAGAGACACAATCCTCAAATAGCGAACAAGAGTCAATCTAGTTTCAGTTGTTACCTGTTTCCATCTGTTTCCTTCTTTCTGTTAGATCAGGGCTATTCTGCTTAACTTGACTAAGTGTTACATTGATTTGTGTTTTGCAGAATAGAGGTTCATAGAAATTGTAATCATCTGGCCTTAAAATTTACAACTATGTTGATAGGCAGTTTTCATTCAAGGAAAGAGGGGATTAACACACTCCAGTTACAGCAGGTGTAACTTGCCAGAAATAAATCCTTAATGTAAACTGAGATTCTGAACATAATAACACTCTGGCACTGCAAATTACTTAATGAGCTTCTTAAGCAATTCATCACACATATCAAAGAGATAATTTCAACATTATCTGCATCAGTCATGAGGAGGGTGTTAGGTTATATGTAGGGGAAAAAGAATTCCTCCTTCCCTCTTTATGAACTGGGGGGTTTTATTAAAATATGGTTGAAACAAAAGGTCCTTCAGAGATCCTATGGAAAAGTTAGCATCTGTTCTCATGTAAAGAGTATGCCATAGCTGTTATCCTGATGAAGACAAATTGTGAAGTGTTTTGCATACCTATGGGCTGGTAAAGACAGAGGAAAAAGTCTCCTCTGAAAAGGCATTTTGAGAGGCAGGGTGTTAACTTGCAGAAATAGGGTGCAGGCTGATCTGGCACGGACACAGCAGAACATAGTCAATCTTAGCACTAAGATCTATAGTAAAACTCCTCAGGGTTTGACCTGCTGACCAGTGGATGAGTCGTTTCACATACCTCTATATTACAACTACTTATTTGTAAATGTTGGCTCAGTACAGCCCGGGGAAAACCACTATCTGTATTCACATCTATCCCATGTTTGAGAGTCATGCCTCAGTTTTTCAAAGATTCACAGCTTCCCTTGTCTGCTGTGAGGGAAGAAACATGAAGTTTTGTACCTACACTGAGGGAACTGGCTTTGTTTAGGCTAGAGATAAGGCAGCTCAGGGGTGACCTTATCACTCTCTACAATTAACTGGAAGAGGACTGTAGTGAGGTGGGGGCTGGTCTCTTCGACTCTGCCTACAGTGAGAGCACTAGAGAGAATGGCTATAAGCTGAGACATGGGAGATTCAGATTAGATATTAGAAAAAGAGTTTTCATTGGTAGGGCAGTGGAATAGGTTGCCTAAGGAGGTGGAGAGTCACCATCCCTATAAGTGTATAAGAGGCATCTGGATCTGGTGCTGGGTGATATGGTTTAGTGGTTTAGGGGTTGCAGTGGTTGTGCAGGGTTCATGGTTGGACTGGATGATCTCAACATCTCTTCCAACCTTGATGATTCTATGAGTCTATACATTTCGATGTATAGACTCGCATTGCCTGCAAAGGCAGCTACTTTGCCAGAACAGATGCCCTCAAGACTGGCTGTTCTGTTGATCCAAAATCTAATTCCCCTCAAAGCTAGTGGAGCAAGAATGTCTTGCAGTGTTCGGAAATTAAGGGTGCCAACCTGTCTTTCAGAGTTTCTCTGTAGTGACTTTATTTCTTCAAGGGATGCTGTGCAAGGATTACAAGAGTTGTCACATTTGAAAATTGTTTGCTGGACAGATCATGAAACCTGGAAGGACATGGCGATTTGCCATGCCTCTAAGGCTTTAGCCAGAGCATGCTGCAGTCATCAAAAAGTAAAGCCAGGAGTCCCTGTATGGCCTCCTGTCTGTACAGGATGATCTCTAGTCCCTCCTCAACCAAGATCCAGTCCAGTTGCCATTTGGAGAAAGAATACAAGCTGTTTCCAGGACAAGGAAGGTAGAGACCTTCCTGGCAAAAGCTATGGCTGCTTTCTTTGGATTTAATCTTTTTCTAACTGATCTGTAAGACCTGTTAAGAGTCCCACTTGGCTCACAGTATTGTAGACAGCAGCAGCTTCTCTTTCTTATGCTGTTCTTCACTTCTCCTATCAGTGCAGTTTCCACCTTTAAGAGAGCCCTGCCAGAACTCTGCTGTGATTAGAATCCCCTGCACATGAGGTGGCCAGTGACTGTGGGCCATCTCTCTCCACCAGTGATACAATCTCACCTCTTGCCAAACTGGTTTCTGCAGCAAGGGAAAGGGAACTGCATAGATACTATTATTGCTGACAAGAGGAACAACATCTCTGTGGAAAAGGACATATACAAGAATCACAACAGTGCTATTTAAAAACAGCTTGTGACACTGACAGGGCATGGAAGATGTGCTTGCTAAGGTACACAAAGTAATGAAGTGTTGAATTTGCAACTGCCCAGTGCTTAGAATTGGAGACTAATACAGGTTTGAAGGGACCTTTGGAGATCATTTGTTCTAGTCCTGCTCAATAAGTGTGGCCACCCTCAAAGTTACATTAGGTTGCTGAGGGTTTGGGGAAACTTCAGGGAAGACAGTGAAAAAACCCATCATGGAAATAGTTAAGACTAGGCTTGAGACAGACTATGATTACAAAACTTTCATAGTATACGAGACCCAGTTTCAAATTCAGGTTAAGTGGGACTGTAGGAACAGCTATTGCCTTGGAGCAGCTGAATTGTCATAACTTTCATACACACTCAGCAAGCCATGCCTGTCTCCTCCTACTGCATAATATGTGTAAAGTTACTTCATCAAAACAAGCCCCTTTATAAATAATTTATCATGTGTTCTGGGAACATAACAGTCCTTTGGAGGACCTACCTGAGTGCTGAAGTTTTTATGGTAAGTGATGTATTTTGGGGTTAAGGTTTTAAAGTATACAAAGTTTCCATTCTTTTTGTACTTTTGCAGTGCTTGGGAGATTTGGTGGTTTGCAAGGGAAGTTCAATGCAGATCATTTGCTTCCAACAAAGGACAAACACATATAAACGTGTCAAGGGAAAAGGTACTTAGAGTAGCATGGTCACTGCAGATTCTGCATGCAGTGCTTTCAAAGGAGGTTCATACATGCTCTTTCTACTGCACAGTGGCATGACAAATAGTGGTTTATTCATTGTTCAGTGTTATCTTTCATATTTATTCCCCAAGCTCTTACGAGACAAAACCAAAATTAGGATCTGGTTCAGACTGCCTTAAATTAATCTGAAGCTATTAAAAGAAAAGACTGGTCAGAGAACCAGCATTTTGGCAAGCAAATGGGATTTCCAACCCCACGCAGTTTTTGTTGGCTGGTATGTATTAAAATGATAAATAGCCATCAGCATTAAAAGAAAATGCTTTGTAAGAGCAGTAACTCAAACTTTTAATAGTTTTAGTCAATTGAAAAGAAATCTATTAAGAAGAAGACTAATTTTTAGGATATACCTGTAATTACCATAAGAGAATTTTCAAGGTTCAGTAATCCATCACAAAAATTTATTTTGTTAATTACAAAAATCTTGCTATGCCCTGGGCAAGATTCTGTATTTGGTTTAGAAGGAACACTTTAGTATAAAGTCAGAAAATGTTCATCAAGTTTGGTATCTGGAACTCAGAGTTTAAAGCTTCCTGCTAAATCAGTAGTGCAAATTGATATGTATTTCCTTTTCTTCAACATGATAAAGCTTCTGCCTTCCAGTACCCAGACGGTGTAGAAAAATCACTTCATTTATTTGAACCCAGTTCCAATTCACAGGAAACACAAATCTGCAGAGCATTTTCCTAGTGTTGGAAGGCTGTACTATTTCATAGTACAGCTAGAAGTAGAAAACCTGAAGTATGACAAAATAATTCCCAAGCAAAACCAACTTCATTTAAAAATAAATCTTGAGATACGTACGGTATTCTAAAGCAGAAATAAACCATCTGATTCATGTGATACAGACATGGCTCACTGCTTTTGGTTCACCATCCACAGAGGAGAACCAGCACTACCCTCCAGCATTTTTGAACTTGACCAGTAGGGTTTTTTCTTTCTGAATTTTAGAAAGCACTTTCCAAGA